CAACTTCCGGAATGTGCTGCATGCACACTCAGAGAAGGGTCCTTGAATGTGTCAGAATCCTAGGCGCTTACCCCATCCCTACAACCTCTCACAGCCCCTTGCCCTCTCGGCCTCCTCATTGAACTCCTGTGCCTGTTCTCACTTCTGACAGTCTGCACACAGCAGGCAGAGCACTCATTCACAAACCAGACTGGACACGGTCAAGGTGTCAGAGGACAGCTTCCGTAGGACTAAGAATACTCATACGCAGATAATACAGAAAGGGGGCCAGGTACAGATCACTGGTGACAGTAGATCGTGAGGCAACAATTATCCAGCCAATTCTGTACACCAGATGATCGAGCAAAAAATACTTAAACAGAGGCCAGCACCATGGCATAGCAAGTTAAACCACCCGTAGCACCAGCCTCCCATATGGGCACGAGCTTGAATCACAGCTGCTTCACTCCTTGTTAACATGCCTAGGAAAGCAGAAGAGAGCTTAAGTTGGGGGACCCTGCACCCACCTGGAAAACCTAAAGCCCCTGTCGTGACAGACGCAGCTCTGGCCATTGCAGCCATTTAAGAAGCGAATCGACTTTTCAAACAAAAATTCATCTTTTTTTACAAGTATATAATCAAGGGCTCGGCGCAATAGCGTAGTAGTTAAAGTCCTCGCCTTGCACACGCCCGGGATCCCATATGGTCGCCAGTTCTGATCTCAATGGCCCTGCTTCCCATCTAGCTCCCTGCTTCTGGCCTGGGAAAGCAGTCGAGGACAGCCCAAAGCCTTGGGACCCTGAAACCGCGTGGGAGACCCAGAAGAAAGCTCCTGACTTCGGATTGGCTCAGCTCCAGCCGTTGCGGCCACTTGGGGAGTGAACCATCGGACAGAAGATCTTCCTCTCTCTCTCCCAATAAATCTCAAAAACAAAAAACTAAATATATAACCAAACACAAATGAGGTCTTATCACTGCTTAGTTTCCACCCCATGCAGAATAAAGCTGAGAGTCCCTGGCTCCGGGCCCTCCTCTGAGTGGTCCCTGCTGGTTTTTCCAAGGTCTTCTCTCACCCTCAGTCCCAGGACCCACTCAGATCTTGTTTCACCACCTTTAGGCTCGCTGTTCCCTGGGCCTGTCACTCTTCCCTCCTGTTTCAAGTTCCTCCATTTTGGTTCAGGTACCCGCTCTCATCTCCTCCTGGAGATCTCTTCTGGTCAGTGTCCTCAAAGTCACCTGCTTTACTTTCCTGCAAGGAACACAGCGCTACCTGAAACCACACCACACGTCACTTACTCATGCACCTGTGCCCCTACTGTCCGTCTTCCCCAGTAGCCTTTAAGAACTATGATGGTAGGGATTTCCATTCTGGCTCATCCCTGCATCCCGAAAGGCCTGGAATAGACGCTTTCCACCTAGTTGATGCAGGACCAGTGTATGTCAAGTGAATATGTGGATAGAAAACAGAAATGCTTGGGCCCAGTGCGGTACCCTAGCAGCTAAAGTCATTACCTTGCAAACGCCAAGATCCCATATAGGTGCTAATTCATATCCCACCTGCTCCACTTCCCATCCAGCTCCTTGCTTGTGACCTGGGAAAGCAGTTGAGGAAGGCACAAAGCCTTGGGACCCTACACCTGTGTGGGAGACCCAGAGGAGGCTCCTGGCTTCTGGCTTTGGATTGGCTCAGCTCTGGCCGTTGTGGCCACTTGGGGAGTGAATCAATGAATGAAAGATTTTCCTCTCTGTATATCTGACTTTGCAATAAAAAAAAAATACATCTTAATTAAAAAAAAACAAAACGAGAAATGCTTGAGACGTGATACTGTGAGAGAATGAATAAATGAATACATGAACAAACACACGAACGGGTGACTGGACCAGCTCTAGTAGAGACATGACCCCTTCTAAAGCAGGAGAGATCAGAGAAGGCTTCCTGCAGGAGCTGGGTCAGAGACACAGACAGGCATTGAGGGAATAATACCACCAGGCAAGGCCGCTGGAGAAGGCCAGGTGGCCAGGTGAGAGTGTGAGGAGCCCGGGGAACCGGCTGATCTGACCTCAGCCGCTGCTCTCTCTTCCCACTGTTCTTCGCTTGGTGCTATGCACTCCCCAGGGCCTTGGGGCAGCCAGGTCCCACCATAGGGGCTGGCCATCAGTAGGAGGAATCTGGCTTTGGGTGCCCCTCTGAGCTACCAGCTGTCCACCTGGCACAGGGAGCCCACATCTCTCAAGGACAGCGGTCTCCAGGGCTACCTGCCAGGAGCCTGTTTGCTCTCTGGGACCCTGCAGCCTCAGCTCAGGTGGGTCCCTGTCCAAGGCCCTTGGTCCAGCCAGCCTTCCCTCTACTGGGGACACCTGGGTCCCTTTCCCCCGGAGAGAATGAGGATGACAGAAGCAGACCTGCCTGGGCTCACTACCCAGCACTTAGGAGGGATGCATCCCTAACCTTGCCTGCAAACTGAAAACTAAGTTACCCACCTCACCAGGCTGCTGTGCAAAGCCACAGGCAAGGTGCTTAGCACTGTACTTGGAAAACACACACACACACACACACACACACACACACACACACACACACGGCTGCCTGCCCCAGCTTGACAGCCCCGCCCACTTCCAGGCACCAGCAGGCGGGTGTGTATGACACCATACTCCCCAGGCTTTGTCACCAATACACCTGGTGCTGACAAATCCCCAGGGGCAGGGTCCTCTTTCACTCTCAGCTCACAGGGTGTGGCTGGGCTGAGTGGCCAGCTTTGCCAGGAGCCTGCACGGAGGGACAGTAAACAGAGCAACACTGGCCTGAGCCTGCAGATACCAAAGTCTGTCCTGGTTTGGCTATGGGCAGACTGTCTTCTGCAAGCCCCCTTGTCTACTCGCTCCGTGCTAGAGGCCCCCTCTGGCCCTACCACCAGGGACTACAGACAGCTCCTGCCATGTGAGTAGACAGCTACACTCTGGGGACGGACACAATTGCTGTCACTGCCTTGTGCCCCTCCTCTCAGGGAAGACTACAGCTGGACTTGTTGACATTCAAGAGCATAGGGCCCAGCATGATGGCCTAGCAGCTAGGCACACACCAGGATCCCCTATAACCACCGGTTCTAATCCTGGCGGCCCCACTTCCCATCCAGCTCCCTGCTTGTGGCCTGGGAAAGCAGTCGAGGATGGCCCAAAGCTTTGGGACCCTGCACCCGAGTGGGAGACCTGGAAGAGGCTCTGTTCCTGGCTTTGGATCAGTGCAGCTCTGGCTGTTGCGGCTGTTTGGGGAGTGAATCAATGGATGGAAGATCTTCCTCTCTGTCTCTCTTCTCTGTATATCGACTTTCCAATAAAAATAAATCTTAAAAAAAAATTCAAGTGCATAAACAAGAGGCCCTGGCCTCTGTGAAGGGGTGGGCAATGATGGGCCCTGCAATAACTTCAGCACCCACAGCCTCGTGGTCTGAGAGGCCGGGCGGGTTCATGAGAGGAGCAGACACTTGGCAGTTCTAGATGCTGTGACTCCCACAGAGAAAACCCCTGTTCTCTTGAGGTTTATATTTCAGTGAGGAGGCATAATTCATACAGGACTAAGTAGGACACGTGGCGTATTAGACAGGGATAAGAGCAACAGCAGAAAACAAACTAGGACAAACAGGAAGGGTGTTTTTTAGATCTGCTTTTTTCTTTGGAAGGCAGAGCAAGAGAGAAGTTCACTTGGACAGCAAGGGCTTATGCACTTGAACCCTCTTCAACTGCCCTCCCAGGCACATGAACAGGAAGCTGGGTCAGAAGTGGAGCAGACAAAGTTCAAAGACACTGATACAGGATGTTGGAGTCCCAGGCAGGGTTTAACGCGCTGCAGCACAAGTCTGGCCCCTAGGGCAGCAATGTGCCTCAGGGTGGAGGTGGTGAGAAGGGAAGCACACAGCAGGCCCAGGACAGAGAGAGGATGAGGAGGGCTTCCAGGTCACCCTGGCTGAGATGCCGTGGACTGGCAACTTTGCACTGTGGGCAACAATCCTGGAGACTCTGACATCCGCTTAGACAGCCAATGGGACGGCAAGGAGGCAGCTGGGTAAATGGAATGCAGGAAGAAGGCTTTACAAGACAGGCAGTGTTGTCAGTATTCTATAGGGCACAGGAGGGGGTGGGGTGGGGTTTCCAGGTAGCTAGCTGCAGTTCAAAGTCAGCCTGAACACCCCCCCACCCTTGACTCTATGCTCCCTGACCTGGCAGGCACCCCACACTATGCAGGTTGCCAAGATCATGTCACTCCTTCAGGCATCCACCCACCCACACTGCTAGCCTACTTGCAGCTTTGGCAGTAAACCCAAGGGAGGCCTCCAGCAGGTCACTCCCGCCCATGGCTTCCCACCTTTCCTTCCTGTCCTGAGGCTCTTGGACCAGCTCATCCAGGTAGTTATTCAGATATTTGCCTGGGGACCCCAAATCCTATGCCAGGACTACCTGAACCCTATTGCACACACACTGTCTGCTGAGGGCTTCCATGGCCTGAGACGGGACAGGCCCAGGGGAAAGACAGCTCCCCTGCCTCCAAGAGGCACACAGTCCAAGCAGGGCAACAGAACAGCAACCAGGTAATAAGGAACATGTCCTGGGACATGCCAAACCTCCACAACAGAAATGTTGGGAAGGCGTGGAGAACAAGTCACTGACACAGAGGGACCAAGGATGACACAGGGGCCAGCGGGGCGGGGGACATCCACCGTGGGCTTGTCTGACAGGGATACAGGGAGTCTAAGGAGCAGGGGAGGTGGGCAGGGGCAGGAGCCTGGCTTCCCAGCTGCTGGGTGGTTGGGACCTCAAGTTCCAAGGAGCCACTGGGTCAGTGCTGCAGGGACTCAGCCACACCCCCTGCCCCTCTGTGGCGGCCTTGGCAGTGGGGAACATTTTCAGTGTCCCCTTGGGCAGAGTGATTCATTATTGTGGACACAAATTACACTCACAGATGAACTCTGGAATCACAAGCAGATGAAGGGTGGAGGAAGAGGGGAAGTAGTCTGGCAGGGGTGGGGTAGGAGGAACCATTTTTTATTCCACAGGCAGCAAACTGCACACACCACCCAGCGAGGTTCTGTGGCTTAGCCACGTCCAGGCCAGAGTAACACAGGACACTGTCCATGGGGCTGCAGCCGTTCCTCGCCACACCCCGCTCCGGGCCACGGAGCTGCAGCTGGCGAGGGACCAGGCTCCTCACTTCCATCCACCTGGGCTCAGGCTCGTGAAGAGCGGTGGACAGCACAGCTCCAGGCCCTAGCCTGTTCAGAAACTAACTCGGGGAGGGGAGGGGCCCAGGCACAATCCCTCCCCAGAGAGAAACAGCAGTTGCAGGTGCACAAGGTCGTGCTTTCAGAGTGGGGGCACGCCGCGCATGCGCCGAATCAGGTTGGCCAGCTTCTTGGCCAGGCCACCAGTGCTGGGCTCCTCGATGTGGAAGGTTCGGGTGAGGAGGTTGTAAAAGGAGCCGTAGCACACAGCCACCACAGTGCATGTGAGGCAGATCACGTTGTAGGGCATGCTGAAGTCTGGCGTGGGCAGGCTCACCACCAGCGGCTCCGTGTACAGTCGCACAAAGTAGCTGGAGCCGTCGGAGACAGGGAACCTAGGGTGCAGGGGGGCAGTGAGGAGGGCGGCTACAGCTCCACTCCCCAACCCACCCCTGCTCATCTGCAGCTGCACACGGCTGGAATCCACAGAATGGCTTTTCAACGTTCTCTTGGCTCTAAACCTTCCATTGGAAGGTTCGTACTTGAGAGCGCAACATGCAAGCCTGATCAAAGCACAGTGGCTCCATGCTCAGCACAAGGAAGCCACGTTGCCTATGCGGGGCTGCTGCCTCCCCTGCCTGCTCTCAGCCTGAAGGAAACCTCCTCAGGAAGCCTTCCTGGATAACCCATTCAATCATGCCCTACTCTCCAGTCTGCCCTGGAGAAGGAGGCTTTGCTGCCATCCACTCCAGGCTCTTCTGGCATTTGCCAAGGGTGCCACCAGATACCTGCCATGCTGACTGGTTCTCAGAGACATCTCAAAGTCTCTTGGTCATCTGTACACACACAAAGCACCAGAGGATGGAGTCAGATCCACGCCACGCTCCGGGAGAGGGCACACCTGCACCATGCTGCCTGCTTGCCCACCCACCAGGGCCTCAGGCAGGGGGCATGGCCATACTCACAGGGTCCTGAACAGGGGACTTTCCTCCCAGTCCACTGGCTTGGCCGCCACCACACTGGGCACGAGGGCGCTGAGGACAGACGGGCTGCAGAGAAGCACATGGCCCCCATTGCTCACCAACTTCTCTACCACGGGGTAAGTGGTATAGAGGGTGGGACCAGGACGGCAGCGGGTGGCTGGGGGCAGTGCCCACCTGACATAGAAGCCATGGTTGGGGTCCGGAGTGTATTCAGTCCACTTGAGCAGGGCCCGCTCAAATTGGATGGAGACCTTGGTGACTGAGTTGGCAGGCAGCTGAATTAGCATCTCGAGGAGGTGGGGCTGCAGGCGGTCCTGGGCAGGCTGGTAGTGAATGTAACCTGCAGACAGGCAAGGGACACTCACACCCCTCCGCTGGGGCCTGCACGTCTACACCGGCCGTCCCTATTGCCTGCCTGGCAGGCTGGGGGAGGAGGCAGGCTCTCAGCCAAGAGTGGCCATGAAGGCTGCCGAACACCCATCCACCTTCACGTCCCTGAAACTGGGGCACCAGAGCCACATACTCAGCGGACTGGGCAGAGCCACCTGGGACAGTATCTAATGGAGTTTCTAAATCTAACCACAAAAGACACGGCGGGGGTTGGGGAGGTGGGAGGACACACCCAGTACCAGGACAAGGACAAATCCAGAATGTAGAACATTCTACACCACAAGGTAAAACCCAGTTTTTCCAACAGACACATAGCCCTGGGGTGGGAGTGGGGTGAGGCATGGGAATGGCTACGGCTGAACACAGCCTGGAGTGTCACACTGAGTACAGACATGGAGAGGGACTCTCCATGTACAGACTGGCAGGGGCAGTGCAGTCATCTGTCCTTCCCCAGCTCAGAAGTGAACACTGCTAAAACACATTCGTGGCGTAACTCACAGGAAACCACGTCACAGACGGGCCAGGAAAACCTAAGGCAAGGCCCCTGCCGAGATCCCAGTTCACATAAGCCAATTCTACAAGGTGATTTTTGAGATCAAAGGGGGAAAGCAGGAGTGAGAATGGTACAATCACATCACAAGAGGGGAGACATGAATGAAATGGACAGAGAGCTGGAGCCCACAGGGAGCTTCTGGAAGGGCCTACAGGGGCTCACGGCACTGTTCTACTTGGCTATGTGCTTGAAATTTCTCAAATTATAATGGGAAAAACAAACAGCAAAATCCGCCGAATACACAGGTCGGACATGTGGCACAGAGAATCCAAAGGGGCTGCAAATAATGGCGTGAAAGATAAGTAAAACTGTTAGCCACAGTTTTGAAATTGGATCTACAATGGAGGGATTTCAAGAAGTTGCAGCCACTTAGGGAGTGAATCAACGATGGAAGATCTTCCTGTCTGTCTCTCCTCTGTGTATCTGATTTTCCAATTAAAAAAAAAAAGAAAAAGAAAAAAGAAGCTGCTTCAGAAGGGGCCAGGCATGACAGCCCACTGGCAGAACTCCTTGCCTTGCACGCACTGGGATCCCATATAGGCGCTGGTTTGTATCCTGCCTGCTCCACTTCCCATCCAGCTCCCTTGTTTGTGGCCTGGGAAAGCAGCAGAAGATGGCCCAAAGCCTTGGGACCCTGACCCCACATGGGAGACCTGGAAGAAGCTCCTGGCCTCAGATTGGCTCAGCACCTGCCGTTGTATTACTTGTGGAGTGAACCAGCAGATGAAAGATCTTTCTCTATGTCTCTCCTTTTCTCTGTATATCCACCATTTCAATAAAAATAAATCTTAAAGAAAGAAAGAAGGAAAGAAAGAAAGAAAGAAAGTAAGAAAGAAAGAAAGAAAAAAAGAAGGAAAGAAAGAAAGAGAAAAGAAAACTTGCTTGGGCCCAGCATGATAGCCTAGTGGTTAAATCCTCATTTTGCATGCACTGGAATCCTGTAGGGGCACTGGTTCTTACCCTGCCTGCTCCACTTTCCATCCAGCTCCTGCTGGTGGCCTGGGAAAGCAGTCGAGAATGGCCCAAAAGTCTTGGGACCCTGCACCCACAAGGGAGACTCAGAGGGAGCTCCTGACTCCTGGCTTCTGATCAACTTAGCCCCAGCCACTGTGGCCGCTTGGGGAGTAAATCAGCAGACAGAAGATCTTTCTGTATCTCCTTCTCGCTGTAGATCTGCTTTTCCAATAAAAATAAATGTGTCTAAGAAACCAAAAAGGCCGTTTACATTTGGCTCTGCAGGATGAGACAATCTGCCTAGAAAGCCCTCTCCTGTATAATTAGTTTCTCCCCACACCTGAGAAGGACAAAGTGCTTCACGGAGAGCCGGGCCTGGCATCTGGAAGAAAGCATCTAGGAAATATCAACCTCTCCTCAGAAAAATGATGGAAAATGGAGGCCATGTTTTACAATTACACCTCTTTGTACCTTGCATAGAAACCAAAGGCCCTCCACCTCGTCTTGACCACCTCTTAGCTTCCAGCACCCCTCTTCTCCTGCCAAGCGCTTCTCCGCCCTTAAGGAGTCTGTGAATCATCACACAAATGTAAACGCAAGGCCGGGCCGGCTCCGAAGGAGAGTAAGTGCGAAGGCTGGGAGCCCGGCCCGCTGCAGGCCTGACAAGGCTGTGTGCTCATGACTTTCGCTTGATAAGCAGCTCCTAGCTCTCACTGCCTATGTAGTTTTTGGAAGCATTACAAATGAGTTGGGGCAGGGGGAGGGAGCTTGTCGGTGGGGGTGAGGGTGGAGACAGGACCTGGGGGGAGAATGAGTCAGGGACGGGAAGTGCTGGGGGGCCTGGTCCAGCACGCAGCACACCCACCGACCGGGTTCCCAGCCTTCACGCTCACTCACTTGGCTTATTCTCCTTGCCCTTGGACGTGATGGTGAGGGTGTGCACGTAGAGCCGCAGGTACCAGGGCACGGTGTCCAGCAGCAGCACAGGGAAGGCACGGTATGGGTGGCTGTTGTACAGCACAGTGCTCAGCTCCCCGCTCTGCAGCCCATAGCCACTCACATAGCGCTGGGCATGCAGGAAGGGCACCGGCGGGGCCTCTGTGTAGAAAAATGCCAGCACTTAGCAGTCCCTAAGGCCTTTGGGCCGTCACCAGCAGCCGAGTGTCCTGGGCCAAGGGTCAAGTTCTGAGGCCAGGGGCAGATGAGCGCAGTCCTGCTCTCAGCACACTGTGCTCTAGGTGCATTCTTGCCTTCCCACGCCCACAGGCGAGGAGGCTAACACAACTGCCATGTCACGCACTCACTAAGAGCCCAGGTGCCCAGGACCGTGGCCCCTTCCAGCCCAAACCAGGTGCTCCAGGAGCCTCTGTCCTTTTCCTTGCCACACTGAACACAATTATAATGAATTAACTAAGGTCTGTCTCAACTAGTAAGCATGTTTCTTAAAAAAAAGTTGGGCCTCACAGGGTGGCAGGCAAATCTTCCGTCTACAGTGCTGGCATCCCACATGGGTGCCAGTTTGAGTCTCAGCTGCTCTATTTCCCATCCAGCTCCCTGCTTATGACCTGGAAGAAGCTCTGGGCTCCTGGCTTTGGCCTGGCTCAGCCCTGGCCATGTGGTCATTCGTGGGGTGAACCAGTAGATAGCAGACCTTTCTCTTTCTAACTCTGCCTTTTAAATAAACATGAATAATTTTTTTTAAAAGCATATGTTGAATTTAAAATTACTTGTTTGATAAACACATGAACAAGCCCCATGTTTTACATTAATTGTCTTGCCCATGTCTCTTTTGCAGATATGGACACTTGAGCTCAGGACGGGGATAGGAACTGGCCATGATCACAGAGCATGGAGGAGGTGCAGTTACGGCCAGGAACACCTGAATCCAGCGCTCTGGGCCCCAACATGTCCCTCTGATCTCAGAGCACAGAGGACAGTGAGCGGGGACCATGGTGGCCCGCCCTCTTACCCTGCTCCAGGGGTTTCTTCCACTTGAGCTGAACGTTGAGGTTGCGGGAGCTGTTGACCACAGCTGGGTCCAGCAAGTCATAGACGGCATAGGTCTTTCGGGTGCCCAGGATGACGTCCTCGTATGTGCTGGAAGGGGGCGGGGTAACCTCCAATGTCTCGTTGCTCTGGGGGACACAAAGGCAGGGCTGACAAGCCGGCGGGAGGGCAGGCTGGCCTGCTGTGGAGGGGACACAGGTGTGGCTGGAGACCCTGTACCTGGCTGTAGCCGGTGATGTCCACATACACTCGGCTCTCTGAGGCCAGAGGGCAGGGCTCGGTGAGGGTGCGGGAGAACATCCGGAACAGGGACCACTCTGAGAAGCAGACAGCAGGGTTGAGCAGGGACCAGGGGAAGGCCTGGCCACCACAGGGAGCAGCACGCACCAGGGGACCAGGGACGGCGGAGGCAGCTTACCTTTCTTTCCCTGCCCCGTGATGAAGGCATCAAACACAACCGAGAGGGTCTGTCGCAGCTCCCACGAGATGCTGGTACAGTGGGCATTCTACCGTGAGGACCAGACAGCAGCAGTGAGGGACCTCACTCCCCACCTGCAGCAGGGGCTCTTACCTGGCCCCCATCGCTTATTGATCTTCCATCCACTGACTTGCCATCAGTCACTACAGAGCATGTGACCTATACTAGACCCTGCTGACAGCTGTGTGGGCGTCAACCTGGTGAACCATCTCAAAACCCTGGGAGCTCATTCTACTCCTATTCTCATGTGACAGGAGAGGACGCTGGGGCCAAGACAGGTGACAGGATTTGCCCAGGCAGGGCCAGCTGGCCTCTGCACCTGCACAGCTACTATTTCCAACCATAGGGCTCCCTGGCAAAGATGCACTAAACTAAGATGCACTCCCCAGGCGGCCTTCCTTGGTGCATGGCCAATGTCCCAAGCAATCATCGCCACACAGGTCACTCCCTACCCAGCCTGAGCCAGACAATGGGCCATGTCGGTCCCTGTGTTTTCCTTCAGGGCCACTGGATGGCACCTGTGCCCCCTCCCAGGGCCCCAGGACTCACTCTGCAAACAGGGCGGATATGAACTGCCTGGGAGTGATAGCTGGTGTGGAATAAGCGCTCTGCCTTCAGCAACACAGAGAGGCCTGCCTGGAGGAGGTGAGAAGAGGTAAAAGGTTTGCACCCCGCTTGGAGCCGCCCCTGGCAGGGCATGCAGGTTCTCCTAAATGTGCCTTAACTCCTGTGCTCTGGAGAGGCGTGCCAGCTGTGGCCCCTCCACAACCCTGTATACCTTGGAGGTACACGGCAACAGCTTCTTCCATGGGGTGAGGTTCTCGGTGCAGACAACCTCCCGTGGCAGCATGGCGTAGCGCAGGAAGTAGTGATCCGTATCTGCAGGGGACAGAGGACACAGCCACATTCCACAGGTGACAATGACCCTACATACATCCTCCAGAAGCACCCATTGAATGGCCCCTTCTGGGAGCAGGCCCCAACCTATCTCCACCTGCCCCAGTCCCTAACTCCCCATACACAATGGAAGGCAACAATGCAGGGACTGTATACTTTCTGGAAAGCTTGTAGGGCCTGCAAAACCAGAGGAGCAGGATGGAGCCCAAGATGGGGTAGGTCAAGGAGGGGAAAGGAAGCCAAGGTCCCGACAGCAGGTGGCCAGGGGCAAAGGGCTCGCGGCTGTCTCACCATTGGCCAGGCCCAGGGGTTTGAAGGAGGCAGTGGGAGTGATGGTGTTGGTGGAGTCGATGAAGTTGAGGGAGGCGCAGAAGATGCCCGAAAGGACGTTACTGAGCTCCTTCCACGACTTGTCCACACTGGAGGAAACACAAATCCCGCTCACTGCCCAGTGGGAAGCTGCCTGCCCAACCATCACGTCAGCTAGCTGATGGAGGTGCAACATCGCTGACCCCACCCAGTCCACTTCCTGGCCTCCCCTAACCAGCACTCCTTCCTTACCCTCCCCTGGGCATCCCTGCAGCCCCACAGGTTCTTGCCAATATGACTTCTCCTGCCCCATGCACTCTTCTCTGCCCACCTTCAGTCGCAGCTCCCTCCTCCAGGAAGCCTATTGTGCCCTCCTTGGGGCTGTGCAGTCCTGACCACTGATGTCCCTCGCTCGCTCTGGGAGGATGGCAGCAGGATCGTGTCCTGAACACCTGTGATTCCCAACTAGGCTGGCAGCAACTCAAAGACCCAGGACTGTTTCAGGTCATCTCTGTACCTCCGTACCATCTCAGAGCACAGAACTGAGAGCAGTCCACCAATCTTGCCAGAGCGTGCCCAGCTGGCAAAAGCAGCCCATTTTTCCCTTCAAATATTGTCTGCAGGAAGGTAAGTCTTGGTTCTACCCTTGGGGATCAGGACATGGCAGAGAGGGAGTCCTATGAAAAACCACACTGAGCAGGTGGAAAATGGCCATTCTAGGACCCCACAAAAACATCAAATTAAACTGTGCTTTTTGGGGCTGGCATGGTGGTATATCAGGCTAATCCTCTGCCTACAGCGCTGTCATTCCATACAGGAACAGGTTCATGTCCCAGCTGCTCCACTTTCCAGCTTGTGGCCTGGGAAAGAAGCGGAGGATGGTTCAAGTGTTTGGGCCCCTGCACCCATGTGGGAGACCTGCAAAAAGCTCCTAGCCCCTGCCTTGGGCTGGACTCGGCTCTGGTCACTATGGCCATTTGGAAATTTTACTGGAAATCCAGATTTACAGAAAGAAGAGACAAAAAGATCTTCTACTCGCTGATTCCATCCCCCAAATGGCCACAATGACTGGAGTTGAGGGTATCCAAAGCCGGGAGCCAGGAGCCTCTCCTGAGCATACACATGAGTACAGGGTCCCAGGCCTTTGGACCATCCTCTGCTGCTTTTGGGCCACAAGTAGGGAGCTGGATGGGAAGTGGAGCACTTGGGGCACAAACCGATGCTCAGATCAAATGCTGGCACTTGAAGGCGGAGTATTAGCCCATTTAGCCAAGTGTCAGCCTGGCAATCTTGGTTTCTTACAGCAGGAGGAAGACACAGCGAGATACAGTTTCCATTCTTGTGCCCCTATCAGCATTTTCACCCCTTACACATCAATGCTACTTGTGTGACACATGAAAAAATATGTTTGTGACTTCTGCATAAAATGGTTCTAATCTAGGACAGGCACAGCAACTGCTGGAAAGAAACTTTTGTACTCACTATATACCTGCCCCTTTCCCAAGCAAAGTCAGTCCTTGAATACATGAAGCTAGCATCTTGTGAGCTAATCCCAGCTCAGAGATATGGCTGGCTTGGAACTTTATATCCCCCGTAACGTAACTTAACACACACACACACACACACAGGGTCAGGTGCAAGGTGCTGTGGTTAAAATGTCACTGGGCATTCCTGCAGCCCACATCAGAGTGCTGGCTTCAAGTCCTGCCTCTGCTTCTGACTCTAGCTTCCTGCTAACACACAGGGGATGGCCCGGGGAACTGGGACCCTCTGCTGCTGCTCATGTGCAAGACCTGGACTGAGTGATGAGTTCCTGGCTTCGGCTCAGCCCTGGCTGTGGCCGGTATTTGGAATTGAACCAGGAGATTCAAGATTTCTATGTCTCCTGATTTTAAAAATTGAAAAAAGTAATATACGGCTGCCATTTAGGTTATCTGGTGCGTTTTCTACCGTCTTCCGTCCAAATATGTGTCTGTCATTTCTTGTGGGGAATCGCATGTCATCCGTAGTAGAAGTATTAGGGGACGGAGCTTATTCAGGCAAAAAATGCCACTCACTGATAACATCATTTCTTAGGCCCAGGACCGGCCCTAACCCCGCAGAATCAGCCCTAACCCCGCAGAATCGGGCTTACTGGAGCTGCTGTCTCAGAGGGCAGCAACAAGATGACAACACCCTCTCTTGCCACACCCCCTCTGGGGCCTGTAGGACCCGAGGCTGGAACACTCACTCTGTGACGGTGTCTTGGAACCAGACCCAGAGCTCTGCGCCTGAGGGAGCCTGCAGAAAGGGGGGTCCCCAGTACCGGGTCCTCCAAAAGCCCTGCGTGAGCGACAGGTGCAACTCCCGGAGAGAATACTTGGAGATCAGCTGCCCCAGAGCCTTGGGAAAGAGCCTGTAATGAGACACTGGGGAAGGGGGCACCGGGGAGTGAGGACCCCACCCTCAGGATCCCAAGCCCGCCTCCGAGGCTCGCCCCCACAGCCCACACCCCAAGCAGGTGCCAGCTCTCGCCTTCACACCTCCTTCCTTCTGCAGCTCCGAATCCCAGCGCGTGCGGAACTGGAATGTGGCGGCCACGTCCCCGGAAGGCAGCGGAGTGATCACGAGCTCCTCCCGCAGGGTGTCGCGTGGGGGCCATGTCTGGCCCCAGGCACCGTGCCCCGGGAGCAGCAGCAGCAGCAGCACAGCGAGCGGCAAGGCCGCCGCCATGCCTGCCGCTGCTTCCGCCTCCCGCAGCTCCCGCCCCACGGGCGGCCAGCATCCAATAGGAAGAGGACAGGAGAATGATTTCCGGTGTCGTCCCGGAAACCGCTCTGCGTTGACCGGAGCTACCGACTGGACTGGCAGGGTGATTTCGCTTCTGGGCCGGTTGGGCTTAAGGAGCACCGAGACGACACAAAAGGGGTGGGTGTCTGGCAATGATTGAGAAGGCACCCTAGAAAGTCCGTAGTAACGGGGAGCCCCGCCCCTACCATTTTCTCCGTTGGATGTTTGAGGACGGCTGACTGCTCGGCCTTGAGTGTCCTCGGGTACCGGGTCCTAACCTTGGCCAGCTGTGCTTCTGGCAAACTTTCCGGCAGAACCCTCAAGTTGCAGCCCTTTTATCATGAAGCATTTTAAGCTTTAAAGAATGAGCACCTGTATCTTTTTACCCATCCCCTAGGTTTTCCCACTAACATTTTGCCGTGCATTGCTTCATTGCATATCCGCCTGTGCATTTGTAAGTTCGTCTTTGGTTTGTCTCAGTGTAAATTGAAGACACAGTACAGTTTCCTCTGAATGGATATAGCATTTCATGAACTGGAATTCAATAGCATTTATATTTTCTCCTTCAGTTTCACAAGTGCACATTGGGTTTTGAAAGATGCATACCCCTATGTAACCCAAACTCCTAATTCAAATACAGGAACAGTCCTGAGCGCCCCCCTCCACACACACACACACACACACACACACCCCAGATATCGGTTGGTGTTTCTTCCCAGTCAGCCCCACCCCCACTGCACTGTGCAAAGATGACCACTGTTTAGTGGTGGTTGTTTCTTAATGAAATCATCGCATAGTATGCAGTGTCTTTTTGTGAAGCTTCTCTTGTGGGAAGTATTTTCTGGAGCATCATTGCTATTCTTGCATGTGCCAGCTGGTTTTTGTTTATGTATTCTGATAGACATGGGGACCCTTAGAAGTTTTCTTACCATGATCAGTAACACTGTCTATACAGGTTACTGTATGACCATATACTTTATCATATCCTTTGGGCAAGTAGAATTGCCAGGTCAAACAGGGGTATATTTAATTTTGCAAAAAAACTGTCAGACCTTTCTCCAAAATACATCATTTTATGCTTCTACCAGCAACATATGAGAGTTCTTCTGGTTGCTCCACATGCTGGCCAACATTTGGTGTTTTAAATTTGTTTCAGAAGTCCCTTTTAATCTGGCTTCTCCCTGTCATTCAAGATCCAGTCAGTTCTGGGAGAAGTCTGACCTCCCTCTCCTGTGGACTGTGATGCTGGGCGGACACCTGTGCTACAGCCCTCATCCCATTGTATTTCCTTTATCTGTGCCCATGCTGCTCCTGGAAGGACCCGCGGTCCCCTAAGTGTTCCTGTTGCCTAAGCAAACTGGCTGGCACAGGAAGGTTTGAGTGAATGAACAAATGAACAAGACATCATCATCACATACATTCTTCTCACCCTGTCCTGCTCTTCAGGGTGGAGTCCTGTGTTCCCCTGGAAATTTCTGCAGCATGAGCCTTCTGGGGTGTCTCCTTGCATGCCATCATCCCTTGAGTTTCTTGCAGGGCGTGGGGTTCTCCAGGATGAGGTTGGCATTTATCTTGTTCTGCAGAGTTGGCCACTGTCTCCACCGTGGGACAAGTCTCTGTGACAGAAAAATCATGCTGTGTCTTTATTACCACAGACAGAAGCCACACTGTGGTCCACAGACTGAACACTCAGCTCGCTGATGCAGAGCTGGCTCCTAATCACCCCCTCCCCCATCTCAAAGGCTGCTTTGTAGCCTCAAGAAACAGTCGGTTGGAGATGGTGGTTCTGAAGACCAGCCAAGGCCCTGTGGCTTGGCAGGAGGAGAAGGCATTGTCCCAGCCAGGAAGTGGTCCTGTGGTTTCAGCTGACCCAAGATTTTGCTGGACAAGGCTGGGGCTCATGACAGCTCATCTGAAGTCGGCCCATAGACTCGCAAACCATTGTCCTGCTTGAGAGCTTCAAGATCCCTCTCCTCAGGCAGACTCCCTGTCCCAAACCTCACCATCTTAGCATTGTGTGCCTGGGGTACTAAGACATTTTTTTTGGCACGCTGACAGCCAGCAAGCCAGTATAGTTTCCCATCATTAACGCCTGATTGCTGAGGAGCCATGAGTAGCAGAGCTGCAGGGGTCACAAGACACAGCCCAAGAAACAACACAGCCATGATCAGATAGGCAGGAAAGCCTTGCTGCTCTGCAGGAAAGGGTGGCCCACAAGAGACCAGAGGCCATGCTGTTCTCTGTGTGTGGCAGTCCGCAATCGTAAGCAAAGCAGAAAGCCCTCAAATGTTAACGCGAGCCTGGGTCCCAGCCCAGCCTAGTGGATGATCTCAACTAGGGCTCAGAGGCTTTGGGATGGAAAGTATTCACTCCACGGGATTTCTGGAGATAGGCAAGGCTCACACCCTAGAGTGCACACTGAAGTTTCTCACTGGTGCTACAAAAAGCACCTGGGAACACTCATTTACCCTGGCTTCCTACAGGAGTGCAGGCAGGATGCAGCTACCAGCAAACAGCAGCACCGAGAGCTTCAGGGTTTAGGCTGAAGGTCATTGACCCCATGACTAGTGTTTGGTCAATGGAAGTGGAATGATTTTTTTCTTTGAATAGGAAAAATGAATTGAGGTTCCTTAAGGCTAGGTCCTGTCACTTCTCCTTTACTTCAACATTTCTTTTCTGAGCAAATTCATTCACACCCACAGCTTCGCTTACAACCCATGCACTGGTAATTCATCAGTTTATTTTTCCAGCCCAGTCCTCTCATTTAACTTGCACACTCATGGATGAAAGTACCTATCCAACATGTCCTGTGGACACCTCAAACTACATCTATCCAAAACCAGTGTCTTGGCTTCTTGTCATACTGGTTCTTTCTTCAACACCCCATCCGGAAGTGGAGTCTGCAGATCGCCCTGGGGCAACAGGCAGAAGCACAGCTGCGCCCTTGGTGCCTGCCTCCCACACTCAGCCAAGACATGTTTTTGAAGAGTTTGCCTCCTACATCTCCTGCCATTCTTCTTTTCTCCATTTTCTACCCTCATCTAGTTCATTGTCTTATCTAGACAGCAGCGAGGAGCCCTTCCGGCCATTGGTTCTCTAATTTTCTCCCATTCATTATTCAGACCTTAGCAGCAGTGCTATTTTCTCACAGGAAGCGTCTCAAAGATCTCTCTGAATAAGCTGATTCCTTCTTAATGCTGGTCATAGTTACCAATTTTTTACAGCTGATCATCAATAGACTAGTAACTCCAAGAGAGTAGGGGATGTTTTTGTTTTTGCCACTGTTACACCCCTAAGATTGTGCCCCAGAATCTTGCACTTGCTAAATCCCAACATTTAGCATCTACTGGATAAATAGTGTCAGTGGCTTATTCCCGGTCTAGACCCAGATGTGCTTCAGCAGCAGTCCCGTCTTCTGAGCCACAGTCATCCCCTGCATGGGTTACTTAAGCATCTTGTTTGTTATGAACCTGTCCACCACTATGTAGCACATTCTCTGTTGCTGCCAGTTACCTTTTAAGCAGATGTTTTATTTCTTCTGATAGAGTTAAAACCCCTAACATGAAAATCAGCTACCTGTCCCTTAACTAACATCATCTTGCTCCTCCGTGACAAAACCCTAGTTCTCCCAACACAGCAGCATGCTCTGCAAAGAAAGTGACCAGGGAGCATCTGGGAGCTCTGCCAGGCAGTGGGGAAGTCACATGCACTGGTAATTCAGTGACTCAAAGTGGTTATCTTCCTGAAAAACCACAATTTCCCTCCTTCTAGATAATGCTATTGGTTAGAACTTCCAAAAACACTTTTTTTTTTAAGATTTATTTTTATTTGAAAGGCAGAGTTATAGAGACAGAAAGAGATCTTCCATCTGCTGCCTCATTCCCCCAAATGGTCATAACAGCCAGAGCTGGGCTGGTCCAAAGGTGGGAACCTGGAACTTCTTCTGGGTCTTCCACATGGAGCCCCAAGGACTTTGGGCCATCCTCCACCACTTTTCCAGGCCATGAGTAGAGAGCTGGGTGGAAAGCGGAGCAACCAAGACATGAATCAATGCCCATATGGGATGTGGGTACCATAGGCTAAGGCTTAATGTGCTATGCCACTGCACCAGTCTATCCAAAAACACTTCTTAATGCCCTCTGCCCATCCTCCATTTATTCAGCTTTCCACCAGCTTCAAGGTCATGGTCTAGGGCTCTTGCAGCCATTTTAGACATGAGGCATCAGTGAGAATGCAAGCTCATACTTCACATGGCTGAGCAAGAAGAGCCACACAGGAGTCCAGGGCACCACAACACGGAGCTTCCATAGAGCACCGTATCCTGGACGTCTTTTATATGAGGAAAAGAACTTACTTCTGAAGTCATGCTCTTTTATTAGTCAAAATGAAACTCAACACAGGCCTCCAGGCATTTCACAACCTAACCTTGTCAGTCTTTTCCCTTCCCCTCATCCAAAAATTCAGCCAAACCAAATGCATTTCTTCCCTCCCTGTGGTCTTCAGAACCCACCCTTTGTGCCTGCTCACTCCCCATCCCTGTCCCGGCTTCCCTCTAAGTATCCTTCAGACCTCAGTTCGAATGACAGCTCTTCAAGGTCCATACGAGCTAAGCTATAATGCCCTTATTTTCTAGTACAAGGGGTCTTCCGAAAGCTCACAGACTACACTTATTATGTGTAGACATTAAAATCTTCTTGCACACAAATTGGTACCTTTTAATTTCGTTTTCCATGAACTCCTTGAAGCCATCTGGTGCTACAGCAGTTCCCTGTCAAGATACTTCACTATTACGCTGTGAGCTTTCTCCTCCATGGGTAGGAAGCTCCATGAAGGCAAGGGGCACAGCCTGTTCTGCTCCAAACTTTTCCAAATATCTAGCATAGGTGTGCAGCAATTATTTCATGATTAGGTGGGTCAAATGCACAACTGGGATTTAGTGCTGGTCACAGAGCTGGATGCATAAAGGGCCCAATTAGCTCTGCAATGTGGAAAATGAAAAGGAATGCTCAGTATGTTGTTATTGATTTATTAGTTATACCGTGCCCTGTTCCAAAAAGGATGTAAGGAGGCAGGCTGGTTGAAGGACCACCTCACTTAGAGTCCTAAGGAGTTCACGTCCATTTAGAGGTGCTGGCTTCACGGACCCAATGAGAGAACTGTAGGATTGTGTGGGGCAGGGAGGAGTGCTGAGAAAGGCAGTGGCATCTCATCCCACTTGGTCTTCCATCTCCTTGGCAAGTCCCACCACAGCCCTGGCAGGAAGTGGTTAGCAGAAAAGCAGGAGAGGGTTAGTTCTCAGAGAGCTGCACCGTCCCACCGTCCTGTCCTCCTGTCCTACTGCAGGTAGTCTGGTCTGTCCCCCGAAGGGCTCAGGCTGGGCCCAGGTCCTCCCAATGAGAGCCACCAGTTCTGTCAGTCTGTAGGAGGGGCCCGGGGCTAGCTGCAGACTCCAGGCTCTGCCCCTCCATCACCCCCATCCTCTTCCTCATCAGATTGTGCCAAGGGCGTGTCTGCTCCATCGTCACTCGGATTTGGGCTGTGCAGGTTGGCAGAGGAGTCAGAAGATGAGGAAGAGGTCCGGGATGTGGTCCTGTCGGACGTGGGTATCGGCAGGCTCAGCTCCTCTGTGTGGCTGTCCACCCCTGCTCAGAGACAAGAGTCAGTCAGGGCCAGAGAAGGCTTCAGGGGACCTTGAGAGATGCTGTGGTCAGGAGAAATGGAAGCCCAGAAGGGGCGGAAACTGTCGCAAGTCACTTTGTCATCCCAACCCATTTGGGCTCCTGAGTCAGGTCATCCAATGCAGAAGGTCTGGCTCCACCCAGGTCTCCTGCTAGCCACACAGAGGCTTGGGGCAGGTCACCGCCCCTCCCGAGGACGCTGCTCCTCGCATTCCCCAAGGGTTTTGATGATAATATCTGAGAGTGTCTGGTATGGTAAGTGATCCTAAAGAACAGAGCATCTATCTCACCAGCCCCCCACACACTCTTACAGTCAGTCAGACCTGGCTTGCGTCCTCATTTGCCCGCTTTGTAGCTATGTGGCTATTTGTGTGAGCCCAGGGTCCTTTAGTGATTAGGGGCAGGCATTGAGCTTAGCAGTTGAGCTACTGGAACGCCTGGGTTTCTTGCCCACTCCAGCTCCTGATTCCAGCTTCCTGCTGATGAGGACCCTGGGAGGCAGTGGTGACAGCAGCAGGAACTGGGTTCCTGTCACACACCCAGGTGTTTGGGCAGAGCTCCAGGCTTCCAGCTCCCACTGATGTGGCCATTCAGGGAGTGAACCATTAAGCAGATGGGAGCTCATTGTCTACTGGCCTTTCAAATAAATAAATTACCTTAAAAATAAGATAAAATGGGGAGTGCCACCTGCCCTGATAGAATGTTGTAAGCGTTAACGTAATGCATGTAAAGTTATTTTAGCAAAGCACTAGGAACCCAGAGCAGTGTTCCGTAAATATTGCGATGACTAAAACTGCTTTGGTTGTCTAGTGTAAACATTGTAAGTTAGCTTAATCAGTGACTGCATTAATCTCACAAACAAAATTAAAAAGACCAAACAGAGGTTGGGCACTCCTGGAATTCTGATTGGCCATCAGTAATTTAGTGTCCCCACAGGGCCAACTGCCAGAAATCAATGCAGGCACCTGTTGCCTTGGTAGCCACCATCACTTCCAGGCCCTTACTCGTGTTCTTCCCCCTGCCCAGAGCCCGAGTCCCCAAAGCTGGGGCCCTACCTGACGTCTGAGGGGTGGGCGGAGGGTCTTCACAGGGCAAGAACACATCTGCTCCATCCTGGTCTCCGAGGTCAATCAGTTCTACCTGCTCCAGTGTGTCCACGTTCACTTCCATGGAAGAGATGCTACCTATGGGAGCTGTGGATCCGGGAGAGGCAAGTCAGGAACCGGAACCTGGCTGGAGTGACCATGATGGCCATGTTGGGTCCCAGGTCAGAAGATCAACAGACCAAGGAAACAAGGGGAGGGGCATCCCCCAAGACGTGGGACCCACAGGCCATCTCCCCTACCCAACCCTGGTCCCGGTCCTTAGGATACAGGAACTCACGTCTCTGGGACTCAAGGTGCAGGTGGGACAGAGGAAAGACAAACTCTGTCTCTGGCTGTAAAATATCCTCGAAGAACTTCTGCCTCTCCCGCAGCCGGAGCTGCTGGCGCTCCAGGGCTGCCCGAGGGTTTGGGTCCATCTCAGCTCCTGGCAGGGGGAGGGGAAGAGGAGCAGGGCCAGTAAGTACAGCGGTGAGGTTGGGAGAGAACACTGGGGCTTGGGTTGCCTGAGTCGGGCCCCCTTGCAGTGGGGGCTTCTGGGGCCAGCCTGGACACTCTCAGCTTGGCCACCTTTTTCCCCTTCCCTAAAATAAAGTGTATTCTATAAACGCTCGAGTCTCACACAGGGGCAGGGCAGGGCTTGCCTTAGTTCCACAAAGGGGAGGCCAGTTCCAGGCACGGCCAGAGGTCCTCTGTCCTCAGGGAAGGCAGCCAAACGCCAGCTCAGTGTGGTGCCCTTCAGCGAGGGGTTCAAGGGGCTGGTCCAGGCCTCAGCAGGCAGTGCCTTCTCCGCTGCTAGGACCAGCTCCAGGGAGGAGGACAGGGCAATGTTGGGGATGGGGAGGGGTCTCTCCCCTGGTTCCTCACCCCCACCCTGCACTCAAAGGTAGAGCAACCCCCTCTCCCTTACACAATGCTCTCCACTCCTACCATCCCTTCCAAACCCTTGCCCTGAAGTTACAGCGGCGACTTTCAGCCCTGGCTCTGCCCATCTGAAAATGGCACCTTCCTTCTTCCTACCTCACAAGACACAGCCGTGAAGGTACAGGGTTCAGGGGATGGCCACCATCAAATCCCCCCAGAAGAGGCTTCCCTCCTCTGGTCAGGGAGTACACACACAGCAGCAGGGCAGGCTGGGGTCCCATTCAGACCAGTCCCACAGCCTCAGAGCTGCTGGCAGGCCCATGCCCAGCGACTTTATTTCCTTTCCTGGCATTCTGCCCGAGCCCATCACCGAGGCCAGGAGAGGTGCTGGCCTAACGACCTGAGATCTTCATCCTGCATGGCTGCCTTCCACACTCCACCCAGGGACAGGACCCAGCCTATCCGGGACGCTGGCCGGCTCCAGAGGGACCCAAACCCAAGCGAGGCCAGGCAGGGCCATGAAAGCGTGGGGGCACGGTGTGGCCACAGAGGAGGGAGGCGCTGACGCCGATTCCTGGGAAAGGCTCTGAGAGCTGCCACACAGGTCACCACGCTAAAAATACCCTGGGCCCCTGGGGCTGTTGGCTCTCAGGGCGGGGGAGGGAGAGGACACGGGCGCTGTCGGGGGGTGGACGACCCCTCTCTCCCCTCCTCCTAACCCCAACGGTGTCACAACAGTGAAGGGACTCCTCTCCTGGGCCCAAGGAACTGGGAGCTGACCAAAGCAGTTGTTTACCCGACTATAGGTGCTGGGGAGGGGATGAAGGGTTCGGGATTAAGAAGGGGGTCGGAGGCTGCCAGGGGTCCCGGTGGGATCCAGCGAAACGAAGAGAAGCCAGTCAGCCCCACCCGCACCAGAGTAGGCGAGAAGGAAAAGAATTCCCTAAAAAGGGACCCTCCGCTTCGGCAAGACAGGGGAAGCGAGCGCTGCCCCTCCCGGCCCTACCACACCAGCCTCCATGCCCTCCGCGCTCCCCCGCGGCACCTGCGCCCACCGCTGCCGGAGCCCCTACCTGCAGCGCCTGGCGCCCCCGCTGACTCAGTCTGTCCGCTCCGGCGAGGCAGCGGCGGGGGCGTGGGAGCGAGCCGCGCCGGGCCGGGGCGGGGCTGCGCCTCCGGGTCTCCCCCGGGCCCGACGGGCCCTGGGAGCCGGGAACGAGGAAGAGGCGGGAGGCGGAAGTGGGGGAGGGGCGGCGGGCACTCTCGCCCGCGGCTCGCCGGGCGGTGGGCGGCAGTCCTTGGGAGCGCGACTGCTCCTACTTCCAGGGCGGGCAAAAAGTTGCCCGCACGCATCCTTCCTCCCCGCACCCAGGCGGACTCGGCGGTACTCCACCCTCGCCGCCGACGCCCGCGCGCTCCTCGCCGCGCTCCGCTGCACTTGCGGCGCCCCCGCCGCGCTGCGGGCCCACGCGCCGGCTCTGCCCACGCACACTTGCTGCTCTCCCACTCCCGGCAGCGCCCATGCACCCTGACTCGCTGCGCCCTCCGCGGCACTTGCCGCGCTTATGTGTGCATTCAAGAAGGCGCTCGCCGGGAAGGGGGATGGGGTGGGACCCACCAGAGTGGGCACAGACTCCAAGCGACTCAGTTCGGCAGGTGCACTGAATTTAGTAGACAACCCTGGACCCTGAACTCACCCCGTTGCTCTTGATGCCTGGCTCCGGGACTAGGCAGCCACCGCCCAGCTTCCCAGCGCACTGGGCGGGGTGGGCGCCGGAACCGGGCGGGTCAGGGCCGGAGGGGAGGGCCACTGCACCGCGCCCCTAGACGCGGGCGAGGGGCCAACACCTCTCCATGGTGTTAAGAGGGGTGCTGTCTGTCCTTCCCAGCTGGGGCGGAGGTGCCGAGCTAGCAACTGCCAGCCAAGAGGGGTAACGCCTGTGCCCCCTCACAGCGCCGCCTGGCTCGAAGCTGGATTGGAAGTGCCCAATCTAGCATCCCCTGGACCGAGACTCTGCCGGTTTTCTTCCCCACCCTCCCCATCTTTCTCTGCATTAGCTCCGGAAGCAGCAGCGTGGGGACCAGAAGCGGGGGTGGGTGACAACTTGAGATGCTCCTACCCCAGGGTCGCTCGATAATTCATTCAACAAACATCCACGAGCAAGCCAGGATCTGGGCGTCATCTTCGGCACCTCCCTTTCCCTTGCCGCCCACATTAAAATACACCTCCATTTCCTGTCAATTTCGCTTTCCTTAACATTTTTCCAGTCCACTGCAGCCTTTCCTTTCTAACTGGTTTTCCTGGACTCACTTTGGCGGGCGGTGGCTGTTCCCAGCTGAGAACAGAGTCTGGGCCGCCCCTGCCCAGATCCCTGGGTGGTTAAAATGTATCCGGGCAGAGCTGGGCTGAGGCTTGGAGACAGGAGTTCACCAAGCTGTGGGAGGTGTGTGTTTGGGGGGTGGGGGTGGGGGGGTGGAGATGAGAGTGTCAAAAGCCTAGTGGTGGCCTAGTGACTGAAGTCCTAGGGATCCCATATAGCTCCGGTTCTAATCCCAGCAGCCCCGCCTCCCACCCAGCTCCCTGCTTTGTGGCATGGGAAAATAGTCTAGGACGGCCCAAAGTCTTGGACCCTGCAAGGTTCCAAGGGAGACCTGGAGGAAGTTCCTGGCTCCTGGCTTGGGACCGGCACAGCTCCGGCCGTTGCGGTCACTTGGGGAGTGAATCATTGGATGGAAGATCTTCATCTCTGTTTCTTCTCTCTGTATATCTGACTTTACCATAAAAAAAAAATAATCTTTTTTTAAAAAGAAGAAAAATAAAAGGCCTGGACCAGCGCTCTGTGCAATACCGGAAGCTGCCTCTTAGATTGGGTGCATCCCTGGAGGAGATGGGGAGGTGAATGCAGTAGGCAACCCGCCCACTGGTTTACAAGAGTGGAAAGCAGCTCGTGGGAGGCAACAAGGCAGTGGTTCTGAGCCCAGGTGCTGCAGTCCAGTGGGTCCTGCAGGGCTATCAACCTGCTTGCTGCTGCCTGTAGCCAGCTGGGCAAACATTTACCTCCACTGAGCCTTCAACTCCTTGGCCATTCCATAGGAATAGTGGACCCCACTCCCAGAATTTTTGCAAATGCTTCCTCCAGACCTTGGGCACTTTGTAGATACTCAGTAGCCAGGAGCTGTTCTGATAGCAGTGGGTTCTGAGAGAGGGAGAGAATGGTTCCAGGCATTTCCAAAACCACAGAAAGTAAACCTTGTAGTTTACACAAGTTCATCAACCTGTGACAATTCTATGTGCTTGCCATACCTGGCTCTCCACAGTCCTAATCAGCAAGTTCTATTATTTGTCCATTTTACAGATCCAGAAACTGAGGGTCAGAGATGTAAAGCATCTGGTCTGGGGCCCCAGAGCCAGCAAGTGCTGCAACTGGACTTGAATGTAGGCCAGCCACCTCCTGAGATGGCTTAGTCTTCACCTGCCAAGAGGCACAATTGTCGGCAACTGTCCTGCTTTCCAGCACAGAAGAACAAGGCCGACTCAGGAGAATGACTGCCGGCGCCTCCGGTTTCAGACTTATCCCTGGAAAGAGGGCCCCATGGGTTATTCTGAACCCAAGGTGTTGAAGTATCAGCAACTTCTGTCCCTTCTTTTTTTTTGCCAGATATTTGCCACAAGAAGATGTGAAGGGAGTAGGGAGAACATCCAAGAGGGAAATCACTGAGGCAGCGCCCCTGGTGTCACCCTGGAGAGAAGTGGGTCGGCACTGGAGGGACAGCGGAGAGCAGACAGCCCGAGACTTCTGGCTCCCAGCGAGGCCGAGACGTCTGGGGAAGGCATCATAACCACCGTACTAAGAGCCATTTTGAAAACTGCTGAGGCCTCCACAAAAATCATAACTTCTGTCAGACCCATCGAGAGCCGAGGTCACGAGAACAGACAGTTATCCTGACTTCCAGACGGACAGGCGTCCCCAACGAGAGGCAGGAGCCCAGCCCTGGCTCCGGGGGCAGCAGGAGAAGACGAAGTCCCTCTGCCAGTGGACAGGGCACGTCCAGCTGCAGTGTTGGTGGGACTGCTGGAAGCCCCATGGAGCCAGCGTGACTGTGCAGCCTCCGTGGGAGCCACAGACACCGAGGTGATCCCTGGCCCACGCCCACCTGGATCCTAACCAGCCCGACTCAATCCTCACACTGCATACTGTTGGTCTGCACACAACATCTGCAAGGCCACTGAACACGAAAACAGAGATGCACATGTTTTAGTCACAAACAAAAACAAACCAAAAAAAAAAAAAAAAAGTAGTGTTGTCTAAAGACAAAGCAGGGCAGATGCAAAAGCCAGATGTTGCTTTTCCTTGACAAAGCTTAAGACACCTACAGCTAGTCTGCAAAAGGCTCTTGCAGAAAATGTAGACAAGATAAATGAGCAAAAGGCAGAGAGGAGACTATTTAAGAAAGAATCAGTCATCAGGCAATGCTGGAGAAATACCCCCACACACAAATGGCAGACTTGAGGAAGTCCTCGGCCAGGAAAGTCAACAGAGCGGAGAAGCCGTAAGCCCGCAGACAGGACACCAGGACACTGCTCAAGCTGAACAGAGAGTGAAACAAAAAGCCTGCTGTGCCAGGGAGCTTGACGCCACAGGAGCAGCTTAACTCGCGCTGCTGCAATGCCCACCCCAGAGGATATATATATATATATTTAATCTTTTTAAAAAAGATTTCTTTTATTTTTTTTTTTTACTGGAAAGTCAGATATACAGAGAGGAGGAGAGACAGACAGGAAGATCTTCCATCCATTGATTCGCTCCCCACACAGCCACAATACCCGGAGCTGTGCCGATCCAAAGCCAGGAGCTAGAAGACTCTTCCCAGGCCACAAGCAGGGAGCTGGATGGGAAGCAGGCCAGCCAGGATTAGAACCAGCGTCCATATGGGATCCCGGCGCGTGCAAGGCGAGGACTTTAGCCACTAGGCTACTGCACTGGGCCCACTGGGGGATATCTTTAAGATGCTGAAACAAAGCTCCATGAATCCGGAATTCTGTATCTCCAGAAAACCATCCAGACATGCTTGAGTACACAATGACTGAGGCAGCCGGCTCCTGGCAAAGGGGGTTCTCGGGCACAAGGAATAATATCAGAACAGAAGTCGTATCTGAATACCAAAATGAAGATCTCCTGAAATGTACAGAATGAAGGTCAGTGTGAGAGCCACTCTAATTTATTCAAGTTATTTTTATTTGAAAGAATTAGAAGGAGGGAGAGAGAGAGAAATTTTCCATCCCACTGATTCACTCCCCAAATGGCCCCAAGGGCTGGAGTTGGCCAGTCTGAAGCTGGGAGCTGTGTGAGTACTGTAGCCTAAGAACTTGGGCCATCCTCCACTGCTTTCCCAGGCCACTACTATGGAGCCATTTTGGAAATGGAGCAGCTGGGACACAAACTGGCATCCATATGCAATGCCAGTACCACAGCCAGAAGCTTAGCATTGCACCATGGCCCTAACCCCAATTTTTCTTTTTTTATATTTTAAAGATTTTTTTTTTATTGGAAAGGCATATATACAGAGAGGAGAAGAGACAAAGAGGAAGTGCTTTAGCTTTCATTTGCTGATTCACTCCCCAAAAGATCCAAAGCCAGGAGCCAGGAGATTCTTCCAGGTCTACCATGGGGTGGCAGGGTTCCAAAGCTTTGGGCCATCCTCAACTGCTTTCCCAGGCTACCAGCAGGGAGCTGGATGGGAAGTGGGGCTGCAGGGATTAGAACCTGTGCCTATATGGAATCCCGGCACATTCAAGGCGAGGACTTTAACCACTACACTATTGCGCCGGGCCCGGAAACATTTTTTTTTTTAATATTTATCTATTTTTTATTGCCAAGTCAGATATACAGAGAGGAGGAGACACAGAGAGGAAGATCTTCCATCTGATGGATGGAATAAAATGTCCCCTATCACTAATCAAGGCTTGTTGAGGGGGTCATGTTAATATCAGATAAAGTGGACTTGAGAAGAAAGACAGAAACATTACGTAATGATCAAAGTTCAGTTCACCAAGAAGACTTAATAACCATACGTACTACACACCTAACAGCAGAGCTTCAGACATGAAACAGAAAACAACAGACATGAAAATAATATTCTTAGAAAAATCTGTACTATACTTAGTACATTCAATGCTTCTCTCTTAGTAATCAATAAAACAAGTAGGCCAAAAAAGTAAGAATGCATAGAAAACCTTAACATTATCACTAACTTGTTTCTAATTGATACTTTCATGATACTTTACATAACAATGATAGAATTAATGTTCTTTTCAATTGAACATCCAAAATTCAACAAGACACATCATAATC